AAGATCAACCGCTTTTCCCTCATCAGTCACCTTCATCACGTCCTCAAAAAACTTAATCAAGTAAGTGAGGCTGGCCTCCTCTGCACAAAACCATGCTGTCTATTGCTAATAAGTCCATTTGCTTCTAAATGCGTATACGTCTTGTCCCTGAGAATCTTTTCCAATAATTTCCCTACCACTGGCGTGAGGCTCACAGGCCTGTAATTTCCTGGATTATCCCTGCTACCCTTCTTAGACAATGGGACAACACTGGCTATTCTCCAGTCCTCTGGGATCTCACCTGTGGCCAAAGATGTCTGTCAATGCTCCAGCAATTTATTCTCTTTCCTCCCTCAATATTCTGGGATAAATCCCATCAGAACCCGGGGACTTATCTACCTTAATACTTTTTAAGACGCACAACACCTCTTCCTTTTAAGTAGCAACTTGGCTTAGATACTTGACACTCCCTTCCCTGAGATCATCCTCCACCAATTCCTTCTCTCTGGTGAATACCATCACACAGTACTCATTTAGGACCTCACTCACCTCTTCTGGCTCCATACATACATTCCCTCCTTTGCCCTTGAATGGGCCAACCCTTTCCCTGGCTACCCTCTTTATATGTATAAAAAGCTTTTGGATTCTCCTTAATCCAGTTTGCTGATGACTTTTATGACCTCTTTTAGCCTTCTAATTCCTTCTTTAAGTTCTTTCCTTCTTTCCTTATATAATTCAAGGGCTTCATCAGTTCCCATCCTCCTAGACCTTACGTATGCTTCCTTTGTCTTTCTGACCAAGGTCATAACGTCCCTGGCCATCCAAGGTTCACGTAACTTGCCACACCCATCCTTCATTTTCACAGGAACTTGCCACTCCTGAACTCTTATCAACTGCTGTTTGAAACACTCCAACATGTCCGATGTAGATTTACCCTCAAACAGGTGCCTCCAGTCAAAATTCTCCAGTTCCTGTATAATTGTTGTAGTTCACCTTCCCCCCAATTTAACACCTTCACCCAAGGACTGCTGTTATATCTCTCCATGAGTAACTTAAAACTCACGGTATTATGGTCACTACTCCCAAAATACTCCCCCACTGAAAGTTCACTCACCTGGTCAGGCTCATTTCCCAAAACCAGGTCCCGAAGGTTGCAGGAACAGCAACTCATATTCCGCTTGGGAACCCTGCAGCCCAATGGTATCAATGTGGATTTCACAAGCTTCAAAATCTCCCCTCCCCCTACCGCATCCCAAAACCAGCCCAGCTCGTCCTTACCTCCCTAACCTGTTCTTGCTCCCACCTATCCCTCCTCCCACCTCAAGCCGCACCCCCATTTCCTACCTACTAACCTCATCCCACCCCCTTGACCTGTCCATCCTCCCTGGACTGACCTATCTCCTCCCTACCTCCCTACCTACACTCACCTTTACTGGCTCCATCCCCGCCTCTTTGACCTGTCTGTTTCCTCTCCACCTATCCTCTCCTCTATCCATCTTCTATCCACCTCCCCCTCTCTCCCTATTTATTTCAGAACCCCCTTCCCCTCCCCCATTTCTGAAGAAGGGTCTAGGCCCGAAACATCAGCCTTCCTGCTCCTCTGATGCTGCTTGGCGTACTGTGTTCATCCAGCTCTACACCTTGTTATCCCAGTATAACCCCTTCCCTGGTTGGACTGATTACATACTGTGTCAAGAAACCCACCTGAATGCTCCTTACAGATTCTGCCCCATCCAAGCCCCGAGCATGTAGTGAGTTCTAGTCAATATTGGGGGAGTTAAAATCACCCACCACAATCCTACTATTTTTACATCTTTCCAAAATCTGTCTACATATTCTCTCCTCTATCTCCCATTGGCTGTTGGGAGGCCTGCAGTATACCCCCCAGCATTGTGATTTCACTTTTCCCATTCCTGAGGTCTATCCATATTGATTCGCTGCACAACTCCACTGATCTATCCTCCCTCAGTACAGATGTGAGATACTCCTCTGTCAGTAATGCAACTCCCCCACCCCTTTTACATCCCTTTCTATAACACCTGAAACATTTAAATCCTGGGACATCCAGCTGCCACTCCTGTCCCTCTTTCAGCCAAGTCTCAGTAATCACAATAATATCATAGTTCCAAGTACTAACCAAAGCTCGAAGTTTATCTACCTTGCCTATTATACTTCTTATACATTGAAACACATGCATTTCAGACGTCTGATCTTTTCAAGAGCGTTTCCCTGCCTGTTCTTGTTCTTAGTAACGTTTGCCTTGGTTTCTACCTCTCCCTCAATTTCTGCATCAATTACCCTACTCCTCTGGTTTCCATCTCCCTGCCACACTAGCTAAAACCCTCCCCAACCAGACTACCAAGTATCACCCCAAAGGACATCAGTCTCAGTCCTGCCCAGGTGTAACCTGTCCAGTTTGTGCAGGTCTCACCTCCCCCATAACCGGTCCTGATGCCCCACGAATCTGAACCTTCCCCCTCACACCATCTTTTCAGCCACATGTTCATCCTATATATCCTGCTGTTTCTACTCCGACTAGCTCATGGCACTGGTAGTAATCCTGAGATAACTACCTTTGAACATTTCAGCTTTCTTCCTAGTTCTCTATATTCTGCTATTAGGACCTCATCTCTTTTTTTAACCTATGTTGTTGGTACCACTGGTTGTTCACCCTCCCCCGTCCAGAATGTTTTGTGACCACTCCGGGATATCCAGGACCCTAGCACCAGGGAGGCAACACACCATCCTAGACTCTCATTTGTGGCCACAGAAACACCTATCTATTCCCCTTATGGCTGAATCTCCTATAACTATTGCATTTCTATGCCTATTTCATCTTCCCTCTGCAGCAGAGCCAACCATGCTGTCATGAATTTTGCTGCTGTTATCCCCTGAGAAGCCATTCCCGTCAACACTATCTAAAACAGTATATCTGTTTTGCAGGGGAATAGCCACAGGAGATTCCTGCACTGCCTGCTTAGCCTTCCTGCTCTGCCTGGTGATCAACCATTCCCTTCCAGCCTGAGGAATCTGAGTTTGCGGTATGACCACCTCTCTATACGTGCTATCTACCACACTCTCTGCCTCGCAAATGGTCCACAGTGTCCCCAAACTCCGCTTCAACTTCCAGGAGCTGCAGCTGGAGACATGCAGGTCCTGGGCACTGGAAATGTGCCCAGTTTCCCGCATCAAGCAAGAGGTACAGACTATGATTTGGAGCTCTCCTGCCATGTCTTACCCCTTTAAGTTAATTAGTTCTTGCAATGTTAAATAATTTTAATACCAAGTTGAAGCTCTTGATGCTCTTTATTCCGATAACAATTTCTTAAAACTTACCTGTTACTCACCAACAAAAGTTACCAGAAACAGTTTAAGCTCGCACTCCCTTACCCACTGGAACTCTCATTGCTGACCTTCCTCTCATGATGATCTGTCTCCTCTGAAACTTGCTTCTCTTTTTTTGCTTAGAGGAGGGAGGAGGGATGGAAATTCTACAGTAATATAACGTTTGGGCCAACCATTTCTTAACAGTAGGTTCTTCCACGATACCCTTCAGTCCTGGGCTGACTGCGAAGTCCACTCCCAGAATGCAAACAAGCGATGACTCAGTACCCTCTTGTTGGAAAATAATGCAAATAAATGGCCAAAGAACCAAAGGCGACATAAGGAAAATCCTTTTGTTTTACACAGCAAGTGGTTGGGATCTACAACACACGGCCTGAGAGTGTGGTGGAGACAAATTCAGTCATGCTTTTCAAAAGAGAATTTGATAATTTTCTGAGCAGAAAAAAATTGCAGGGCTATGGAGAAAAGGTGGAGTAGTTGCGACTAGGTGAGATGTTCTTGCAGAGATCCAGCATGGACACATTGAGTCAAATGGACTATGATTCTCTGATCGATACATCAATGGAGTGGCTTTTTATGGTTCTTAATTCTTCTGCTCTCACCAATTCAATTATAGCTAATGGAGGATTTAATATGTAACTAAAATGGAAGAAGTGTTTTTTTTTGCGTCAATAAATATAGAACTTGTTAGTCAGGTGAAATAGCAGTTTGCTACAGTAACACATTTTTATGAAGTTACACCCTATTCCTCCGAGCTATGTTGTTCTCTTTTTAGGATGGAGATCATTAGGATACTTTTGATGCCTGAAAATGAGATATTAAGTTGCTTAATTGAACATTACCACACCACACCAGTTTAGTCGAGTGTTTACGCAAGGCTTGTAAGTAAAATGGAAGGAAATGATGTGCACTATAATAATAACAATCCAGTGGTGTGCCAGTGGAAATTCTCCAAGAGGCAGGCGTATGCAACCATTGTCTGAATTCTAACTCCTGCCTGAACCCAGGGTGGGTGGAGGAAGTCTTTGTTCGGAGAAGGATTCCTTTCCTCTACATGAGCAAGCTCCCTTCTTGTCTACTTGCCGATCAACAAGGCAGTGCTGTGAAGAACCCTGTAGTGATGATATAAATGTCGGAGAGACTGAGTAAAAATATATTTCAGATGAAATGCTGAAAAATATCATGACCAATTAGAAACATTTATCATTGCTTTATATATGTCTATAATTATTTAAAGATTATTATTGTTTAAACATATAGAAATACAATGCATTTGCAAAATATAATCACAATATCCCATTTCACGATACCTGCATTACAGTCTGGTTATAAACTATATTACAACTGCGATATTGTTTGCCTATAAGCAATATGCATTGTATCGGGAATTTTAAAGTACTTCAGAGGCTGCTTGTGCTGTATAATTGCGAAGGACGGTCACAAATGTAAAGTTTGCTGAGGCCGTGGATCATATAGGCAGGAATTCGTGAATAAAGCCGGACTTAGATTGAGGTTGCAGAGAATCTGCTGTTCTATTCTTCGCATTGACCTGCACATGATCTGCCATGCCTGCAGCACAAATCTCTCTGTTACCAGTTGCCGTGGTTACAAAAAGCTCATGGTAAACCAATGGGCTTTCTGCAGCATTGCTGAAAAGCACCAGCCATTTTGGTTATGGGAGCACACTGGAATAATGCTCTGCTTTATCCAGCAATAACATCAGCTATTGAAGAGAGAGTCCCGCGTTCCAGATGATCTTTGTCGCTCAGAATGCCACCGAATTGCTCGACCATCAGGCTGTTCACTACTGCCGCTGGGCTGGACTGAAAGGAAATAATCTGCAGTGCAAATCTGGGGGCAGATCAAGCAAACACAGACAGTGTTTTGTGTGGTAAAAGAGCGTTGTGCTGTCACGTTACCTTAACTGTCTAACTGTTGTCTGCTATTGGTGACCAAGTAAGAAGGGTGTAGTCCCGCACTGACACTGTTTATGTACATTTTTGCTGCTTTATTTGGACAGACTCCCACTGAAGAAGCAGGTGTGTGATTTATCTGGGTTCCACACCGGCTGCAGCTCCTCTGGTTTTACATGCTGCTCTCAGCTCGGCTGCTGCATTTGGGACATCTGGTCGTGGACATTGTTAAACCTGGTCAATCGGTGCTCAGCTGGTCTCTCCCCATTCAGGTAAACTCAAATTGCAATATTGACTTTCTTCTTTGATTGTGAAACTGGCGAGCAAATACATGGGCAAACTACAAAGCAGTTCTAGTGGGGCTGTCGGAATGTGCAAGTGCTTCTGTCTAAGAAACAATTACCTCTGTTGACACAGACTTCATATCTCAATATTAATCCGGTGCAGTTGTGTTCGTTGTGATGGATGTTTGCAATTTAAAAGACTTTCTCTCCGCGATTTCGATATCCTGATTTCGCGCGGCCCCCCACGTCGATGGTTACAGAAATGATCCCCGCAGTAAAAAGACAGTAGTTTGTGATGTTCGTATTATACAAACCTATATAGGTGCCATACTTGCATGTTTCTCAAGCAGTAAGAGCCAGCAGCTATCGGAGTGTACAGTGATAACCTTTCCCAGAGAAAGGCAAACTCTCGTTAAATATCTAATACTGTATATTTCAAAATTAAACATACAAGCAGCTGGTATACACTTAGAGGCTTCTTTTGAATTATTACCTTTTTGTATGCTATAACAGAATCAAATGATGGTAGGAGATTACAGACGCTATTTGTGTTCTAGTGTCTGTTGGATTACTTACATGAACCAAGATCAGTATGTGATTAAACTTGTATTATGATCTATCCCACTGTGCGAAGAGCTGAGAAATGGCTTTGACTATTTTGTTGGCTCAAACTCAAATTACGTTTATTTCTTATTGCAAGCATCATTGACTGATAAAGACAATTTTAATATTTAATCTCAGGTCATTAGAAAATAATTTCTTCAGCTTATTCCTTCCTATTAAGATCGTCTTGGTTAGCAAGTGGTTGATTGAAGCATGCAGTAAATCTCAAGGTAAATGATCAATATAATGCAACATGTATCTTGTATTACTGTTGGTGTTTCGGATTGTAGCTTGCAAATGTGGTCAAATGTGTTTTCTTACCCTGGAATAAGAAAGTAATTAAAAGTTTAAATTGTATGTGGCGAGAGTGAGTAAAGATCAGTTTTTTGAAACCCTTTCCACAAAGTATTCAACTGTATCTGCACTGGCTGTTAAAATCAAAAACCACAATTTATAAGTTATCATCAGTGCAGTATAATAACTGAGTGTTTTTCCAAACAATAATTATCTGCTCTTACCCTGTACAAGTAATTTAGAGGCCCTGTTTTGTTCTGAAAATGCTGGTGTTGCCATCAATGTTAAGTTGGATTGTTGTGGCAGCTGCAATTGTAGTTTCAGTTATATACTTGTGCCTGATCCAAGGTTTGGGAGGGTAGTGAATGTCTAAGTCACTAACCCGTGGTCAGTAAAATAGATAATGTTCCAAGAGATATGAAGACAGCTAGAGATTGTTACTTAGGAAAGAGCTTGTCTTGCATAAAAGTGATGGTATTTGCTGACAATAAAATTTAAGCCTTGAAAAGTTTACAGTTTCTTCCTTAATAGAACACTTCCTTGTCTCTGCAAAATATGTTTGTGTATTGTTCAAGATACAATTTTGTTCTTGTTTTTTTTGTTACAATTAAAGCATGAGAAAGCATTGGCTACAACTTTTTAATTTCTGGAGGTTTAGAATAAAGTAACAATTTGAAAAATCTATCAAGATAGTTCCCTTACAGATCAATGGAGGATCAGCTTCTCTTGTGGCCTTGATAATATCTCCTCTGATTATGTTAAATTAGAGCTTTTGATGAGACCTTACTGTTACACTGATAGATTAGATAAAAGCCAAAAAAAGTTGCTGCCAAAAGATTCAATACTGTATTTGTCATAATTTCAGTTCATCTGTCCATAAGGACATTATTCTTTTATGAGCCAGACAACGATCTTTTATTTCACTACAAGATTGATATCTTAGTATATTATTATTCAAACAGATTAAGGATTCCTGAAACATATTGGCTGCATGTTACAAAAGCCATCTGAAATCCAAGAGTCTTTTCTCTCCCCTGCTTCAGGTTATTCTCAGCTTTAATACATGCTATGAGTGGATATTCTTCTTATAGGAATGAGGCAGGGCAATGCCTCTGCTAGTTTGCTAAGTGCAGTAAATTGTAACATTTTTTACAAATAATTACCATTTCACAAGAGACCAGGTTAAAAGTTCCTGACTGTAGCATCATCTTCAGTGAAAGAAACTTATGTACCTAATTCACCAGCCAAAGGGCCTTTCATGTTTATTACAAGACATCTTTTTTCATGCCTCCTATTTATCATGATAACAAGAATAAATTGTGTAAACTTTCCAAATGCATGTCAGACCATTTAAATTATATACTATTCCTTGTTCCAAAATTCCATTAATACAAATTGTTTTTGCTCTATTCCTGCTTGACTTATTCCCCCATCCTCTTCTTGACTGTTACCATAGCATAGATGAGTGTACTCTCCTCATATCCCTTCCTACACTATGCTTAAAATTTGTAGCTTAAAGCTCCATTCTTAATTTGAGCGCATACTATTTTGGAGTTGTTTCTTAGATGAGTTGATATCAAACTGACGCCCTATTTTGTTGATTAAGGGAATTGTGAAAGGCTTCATGACTTTTATATTTGAAGAAGTAGAAGGATTTTTTTCCAGTGTACTGGTAAATGTTCTTTCTCAAAAGCAACATATTAATAAACAGTTTAGTTAGTTATTTATCCAGTTCCACTTTAGTAGGCAAATTTGCTATTATGTAGGCATCTGCATTCTGCATTGACAGCACTAGAACACTTGTAATTGATTATGAAAGGCTCCAAGCAAGAAAACCTCATTATTAACAAAAACAGAAATTGCTCCTCTGGCCTGTTCAGAGATGGAGTCACTTGAGCCAAAATGTTAACTCTGCTTTCCCTCCACGGATGCTGCCAGAACTGCTGTATTTTTCCAACAATTTCTGTTTTTGTTTCTGATTTCCAGCATCTGCAGCTTTTTTTTATTTTTAATGTTCTAGCATTACAGGAGAAATAATTGACAACATGACCACAAGTATAACAGCTATCATGGAGAAAGTTGTGTCCTGCTTTTAAGCTTCAAGATCAAAAATGGGACATCTGATGTTCCATGTGCTGTTTGACTGTCAGTAGGACAAAATAGACACTTTTGTTTTCAAACCATTCCCAGACCACATGTTGTAGATATATTTAATCAACCTGTTCAGTTGTGTTGTGAGACACTTCTGGAGAGGCACGAGTTGACTCAGGCCTTCTAGCCCAGAGGCAGGGACAGTACTGCTGTGTCCCAAAACCCCTGCAGGTCTCATGATGTATACTGGTTAAATAGTTATCAGGCACACACTCTCAGTTAGTCAACAGAAATCTCTGGTGCTGCACGCTTGCTTTAATTATTAAATAACATAATATCGTAAAATATGCTGGTTATCTACTTTTCAAGTTCCCTTCATATGGTCATTCATTTAAAAGCACCAGTTGTGGAAGGGGCCATTTAAGTTTCAAATTTAGAGCCAATGCTCCCTTAGAAGCCGAGGAAGGGATTTGCTGAAATTACTTACAGCCCAGGAAAGAGTTCCTGGTCACTCAATGAAGTGACTAGTTTCACAGTTTTAGCTATTGCTTGCGTAGCTGGATGCATAGGAGCGTCCCATTCATCATTGTGGGTGCTGTCCCAGTAATGATAATGGTCATACATACAAACGAGGTGAGAAATAGGCCATTTGACCACACAGGGCTGCTGCAATTTTCTGTAAGATCATGGATGATTTGATTGTGATCTCAAATGCACGTTCTCATCTACGCCTTTGACTCTAGTATTAGCCGATAATCTATCTATGTTGTCTTACAAATAGTCAATGATCATGCCACTGAAAGATAGGTAGAAGGGTAGTATCTCCCATGGAGGATAGATGGAGGTCCTACTCCACCCAAAGTGGGCAGGGATTTTAGGCTCAATTTTTCTGACAATGGTGGCTCAAAAACATTTGCCACTTTTCCTTCTTTTTGCTCCAGAACTCTCCAATCTTGAATGTGTGCCAGATGAGATTTTTTTTTATTCCTGTACTTTGGTCAAGGATACAACATAGCTAAAAAGTTAGAAATTGTAACGCAACATATCTTTTCTCAGCCAAAGTCAACAGTTGCTATTAATTATTTCTAGCCTGCTATAATGCTTTGTGCATTTAATGTGGTTAAAGCTTCCAAATCAAAACCTGGTTTAGTAAACAATAATCTACGCTGACAGTACATGGCATGTTCAAAATGTAATTTTTAAAAACACTGTATTTTAATTTCATGTATACTGCCTGCTTCTGAAGAACTAAAATAAACTGGGTTTGACTCTACTGGAAGATTGTAGGATGTCCAAATAATGGAATGAACCTGAAAGTTCAGTTTTAACTTGTCTTTACAAGTGGCTGTAAGGAATGTCATCATTGAATGAGGTAGAGGATCTTTTAAAGTAGATTAACTCAACTTGCTGACATGTTCCAGCTGTAACGTCGCTCCAATTTTTACTGTTCTCTTTGTTAAAGTCATTGAAATGCCTGCCAGAGACCGACAGGTGCCGCATGAATGCAATGTGTGCAAATTGGGTTCCTGTTGCTGTAATTGGGACCTTGGTGCGATTTAAGCTAGTTAGATAAAAGCCCTGCAGAACGGCCACCCTACTGAGGAAATGTTTGTGTGATTGCACTGTCTGACTCACTGGAAGCAATATTCGGATTAAATGGATCTGTGTGCCGTGCTTGGTGCAGTTTGAGGCGATTGTTCAGTTTTGTGTTTTGCTTTTTTCTGCTTTAATCACCCTCATTGAGTTTTAGCAGGTTGCAGAAGGTGCCAGTTCTGCTTGGAGAAGCAGCCTCACTAATCAGGATGAGTCGCAGGCGGATCTTTTGTCAGACGGCTGCTTCGAACATAGGAACATAAGAAATAGGAGCAGGAGGTGGCTATCTGGCCCATTGCGCCAGCTCCACTCGGAGTGCTGCTCACTGGCATTCCCCAGCTCTCAGTAAAGGCTAAGGATGGCCTTCCTGGATAGGGCTGAGCATAGACTGGAGTGCACAAGCAGGA